ACCCCGGCCCCGTGCACCACGGGCCCTGTAAACCGTTCCCGTACAACCCTGAGCCTGTACACCCCGGCGCCTGTACACACCCCTGTGCCGGTGCCCCGCTCCCATACACCCCGGCCCCGCACACCCCGGCGCCTGTACACCGCTCCCGTACACCCCGGCCCTTGTACGCCCTGGCCTGACCCCAGCCTCAGTGCCCCCGACCCGAGTCGGGGCCAGCGCCGCTGGAGAGGGTGGTCACAGCAGCACATTGGATTGTTTCCTGCCGCTGTTCCGCTAGCCGTCCCCCTGCCGCCTGCAGATCCTGACACGAGGCCTCTGCGGCACCTCCAACCGTCACGGCCAGCGCGCTGCTCGCTGCGTCTGCAAACACTGAAGCGCGGTTAGTTCACTAGGGCCTTCCCGCATTGACGCAGAAACAGGAGATAACAGATACAAGCATTGCTGAGACAGCAGAGAGCTGCAGGCTCGAAGATCTTACTGCACTGTTGCTATTTATCTACCTGGCACTGCCATTTTTCTTACTTATTGCTCAAGCTTCTCTTCCTATACTATGTACACCTGTGCACCAGTGATAAAAACAGCATCCCTTTCAGGAGGGACGTGTAGACCAAACACAGCTGTGACTGTAAAAAAATCCAATGTGACTGCATGTAGCAGGGTGACCCAGGTCAAAAAGGGCGGTGGAAAGTGCATCCCACTGACATGGCAATTCAGCCACGTACTGTGCACGTCTCCCTTTCCTCCTTCCCAGCCCAAACTGCTGCCTTTAAAGGCTTGACATAGCCCAAGCAAACACTGCTCCACCATGAGCCAAGTGCCCAAGTCCGTCCAGTTTGTGCACACGACAGACCTTCAGCCAAGAGACCATCATCCCCTCACAAGCTTGGAGAGCTGTGAGGAGGAGGGTGCTCAGCACAGAGCGATACCCGTCACCGAACAAAGCCGGCCCCGTCACCGGCGCTGCGCAACGCTGACGCCATGGGTCTGAGCACAAAAGGGTCAGCAAATTGCTTTCTTGAAGCTGCAGACATTTCTGCTTTGAAATCTGGTATTTTCTAGTTTGAGAAGGTCCGTGCTTCTAATTGCAGCTCTATGTACGGGCCTCCATTCACCCTCTGTAAAATTAGGATAGTCATATTTGCTTCAGAAGACAGCAAGAGGATTAACTGCTTTTTATGTCAGGTTTTCAATATATGAAATCCTAGCAAGCACAAAATATTATTTAGACTTCAGAGATACATTTGGTGACATATTGTGATTGTTTATAAAGGAATTCATGAACATTCCCCTGAGGCACATGACAAGAGTTTTCCATTTATTTAGGGATGGAAACCTAGAAAGATTTATGCCTCCCTGCCCACTCCTGCCCCTCTGTCACTGAAAGCTGTTCAGTAGCCTGGTCATTCCTTGGTAGTAAAACACACAAATATATATGTTGGATATGTACAGACACATATTTTAAGACCTGTATCTAGTTGTGGCATCGTGTTTTCAGACAGTGCTGGTACATCTGCGTTCAGACTGCTGTGCACGAACATCCTGCATTTAGCTATGCTGTTTGCACACAGCAGCCCAGGCTTTGCACAAACAACTCTGACACTCTCCAACACCTATTTAGAAATTGAGAGTGAATTAGTTTGATCCATAAAGTAACTTCTAATAGAGGCCCTAACCTATCCTATGTTTTGTACCTATAATTAGATGTTTCTACCTGCTCTGCAAACTAAATTTTTTGCTGTCTTCGGTATATGTTGGCATTGGCATTCCAAGCTATCAACACAAAGGCCAAATACGTATATTTAAAAACAAACAGTATATAAGGAAACTGAACATCATTGATCTTCACATCATCTTCACAGTCATCTCCATTATTAATGGCTACTCTTACCTGCTATTTAGTACCTTAACATGAAGCGAAGTCTTATTTTTCCTGACAGTGTCCTCAAGGGGGAACTGCAGATTTCCTACATGCAATCACTACCTCAAACTGCATTCTGCCTGAATGAATAGGAATAATCAGCATCTTTCAGCAGAATAATCAGCCAGAAAATTACTTATCCCCATTGCTCACTCTAGAGTAATCAGTCTTTGGCCTTCAAATTCAGAATAAGTGAAGATAAAGCTCCCTACTACTATGAAAAGTGCCACAGATAAGAAAACACTTTCTATTCATTTGGGCATCTGCACAGCATTAATGAATAAAGTATCCTACCGTACCTGTGGGGATTAGGAGGCAGGGTACCAATTTGTTGTTTTACTACAGCTGAATCCTCCTAATCCTTTTCTGTGCTACCAACTATGTCCAAAAGCATTTACTGAAACATTAGTTTGTAAACATTATGTCTAGAAATAGTCTTCTCTCCTGGCAAAACAATCTTCAGTTTGATGTAAAGGCTTTAACATAGGCATGCTGTAAAAGCCGGCAGCAAAATTAGACCAAGTCTCTTCTCCTGTTTTTACAAAATACAAGGATACACACAGTACAAACATAATCCAAACAAAGCCTAAACTTATTAGCATACTTAACTTGCCAGAAGGTTTATAACATCATGAAGCAATTATTTAACTCCGTATAGCTAAACTGCCTCACACTTATTTGCACAGAAGAGATAGCATTGTAATGTAACTACTCCAGAAAACAGAGCTCAGCGAATTCACAAAAGCAGTTACATGACAAACTGCTTGAAGAATATGAGGATGAAGCTCAGTAATACCAGATACTCTAAATCTTGTGTTTAATAATGAGATTTAACGTTGCAGTATCTTATCATTACCCACCCCCACCAGAAATACAAACACATTACTTACTTACTTAGAACCTGCTGAACCAATACTGCTGGAAATTTTTCTATATCTATGAATAGTGATATGTCTATCCATTTATGTTAAACTATAAAGAAAAGAAAAAGAGAAAAGATTCACTGGTAAGTTTAAAACATACGATGACAGTCCTGAGTAAAACTAACAAGGAAAACAAACAAACAAACAAAACTTTCCTCATCTGAAATAGTCTCACATTGCAAAACTGAATCTTGAATTTGGAATGGTCTCCTACCTGCTAAGCACTTAATTTAGCTCATCACAGATGTACTTACCCAGTGACCGACTTGGTGTCAGATAAGGCAAGTCTTCCTCGAAGATCACTGCACGTTTCTTAACCTTTCACTCAAAAGCATTCCATCCCAACTTGAAACTGAGACCTTCCTAAGCCTGAGCGTTCCTTTTTGTGCTAGATACCTAGCTACTGCCACGAACTGATGTTCATGAACACCACACCCGCCACAAAACAAACCAACCACACACTTATCTCCAATGTGTCACTTGTCTCAAACCTGAGCCCCAGTTCCCAACTTGGAAAGTGATGGAAACGCTAGGTGCAACTGAAGGACAGAGACACAAACAGATCTGAGGCCAGTCTTTCTGATAGTTGACTGATAACCCAAAACTGATCTCCAGTAAAGTAAATTTTAAAATTAAGAATATGAAAAAAATGTCTGTCCATTATAAACTATTTGAATAAATATCAACATTTATTTTTAATCTCATAGTCTCTATGATCAAAAAAAAAAAAAAAGTAACTGGGCAAAGAAGTTTGTGTCTAAAGAGGTTCTCAGGGAGTAATTTAAGAAAAATAATTCTAAAAACCAACCCTGAGCTAAGGAACTATCAATGATCAACTATCAAAACCACCTTTAACCTTAGCTTTCCAGTTCAATAAACTGTAACTACTTTGTGTCATCTGAAGAAAAGGTCAGCAACATGTACAAAACAATGCTAATTTTGCCTACTATTATTCAAACAGATTTTACACAAAGATTTTAAAGAAACATTTTAGAGAAAAAGCCTCTTCTAGCATATCATGCTGCTCTCAGCTAAGAGAGAGGAGAAACTGTGAAGCAAGATCTCAGTAACAAAGTTTGAAAGCAATCCAGGACTGCTTGATGTTTACAACTTACATGAAAATATTCCAAGTGATTCCTTACACACATAAAATATGGCAGCGAAACAACAATTCAAGGATTCAGAGATACTCAAAAATGTAGAACATGATAGCATGAATTCCTGATACTCGTGACAGCAGGGCAGCCTCTTTTCTTCTCTTTGTAGTCAGGGATTCAGGTAACTTTAAATTTAAGAAAGGGTACAGAAAGAACCGAAATCCTCTCTAGCCAGACATCTCCCCCATCAAGGAGCCAAGTTCCAGTCTAGGCATTAGTTTCCCTTCTGTCACAAGGCTGCACCAGCAGAGCTATTTTCATACCATCCAAAAAGCCACAGAAATTTATTTAAAGCATATGCAACTCTGTTTATTACAAATACAGAATAGATTCTTAAAGACATCTCTGCAAGTCCTCATCTGCTGTTACTCTCAAACCTGATTAATAGCATGATTTGTAAAATACGTCCGGTGAATCATGTAAGCAAAGGTGCAACTAGAACACCTACAGAAATGAAAAATGGAAAAAGACTTTATGGAAGGAGCACCATCTTTCCTCGAGCACCACTGCCATGAATAATGTCTTCATGAGCCTTAACTACATTCTCCAAGGGATATTCGGAGCCTATTCCTGGTTTCAGCCAGCCAGCTTCTATACCATCGAGGACTGCTGCTGCACATTCATTTCTCTCCTCCTATATAGAATAAAGGCAACATTTATTGTAAGGTCTGTGCATTTTAGAGTAATGTTAGGAATTTATGTAATCATTAAACCAAATTTTACAACTCAAAGATATTTTAGGAGGATCTGAGATTAAATCAAAATGTAAAATAATGAACAAATATTATTTACAGTGAAATTATGCTTATAACCTTTTTTTTAATAGATAAACTATTTTAACTAGAAATAGTAAGGCATTAGGTCAACAAGACATTCTTTAAAATAAAAATAATTATTTTCTTACCTCAGTTGCAAGAAACAGAGAAACTCCAATTATGCTAGATTCTTTGCTCATAGTGTCTCTCGGATTTATCTCAATAGAACCTCTACAGCCCACAACCTGTTACGACCCAGTTAAAACATAATTTAAGATTGTTGAACTGGATTGCCAAATATGCAAACTCAACTTAATGACAGAAAATACTTACCATCACCCTTCCTCCATAGGCCAACAGATGCAAGTCGGTAGCAAGATTGACATTAGACAGCATTTCTATTATTATATCAACTCCTTTTGTCCCTGTGTATTCCTATATAAGATATAATACAGTATTAAAATAATTCCAATTGATATTTGGGTGCCTCTGCATATATCTTATGCAAATTTTATAGTTCTTTGTGTAGATTTCATAATACAGCGTTCATACTAAGACTGACAGCTAGTAAGTTTACCCTGTTTTGACATGCTATTACACTGTGATTTGCTGAAATGGAAGAGTTTCTAAATGCCCCGAGGAATCTGAGGAAAAAAAAAATCAGGGAAGTTTTCTATTGTGTAGAAATGAAAAGGGCAGTATACTATTGCCCTACGTAAATCTGTTTAAAAAAAATAGCAAAGCTTTTTATACTGTATAAATACTAATAATGCATACTATATCACCTAGATCTGATAAATAGTTACCTCAATGTAACAGTTACCTTAATCTTCTCAACGTAATTAGCTTCTCTGTGATTGAAGGCCTGGTGAGCACCACTCCTCAGCACCGTGTCCATGCCCTCCGCGGTCCCCGCAGTGCCCAAAACCTTCAGCCCACGGGCTCTGGCCAGCTGACACGCTGCTATTCCCACCTGGGCAGGGGGACGACAAAAAAAGTCACTCTTCTTTCTTCAGTACCTCCTTCTCTATTTTAAATTTAATATATTCTACAAGCAACTTGAAATGTAACCATTTAGAAAACTGAAAATTTGAGCTGGGAAACCTTTTTTTTTTGCCACAATAAGTAGTGTTAAGACTAGCCAAGTAATCTTTAAAAAAGAAAAGGTGTTTTCATAGGCACAATGAAATTTGCTTTTTTTTTTTTTATCAGCTATCAGCATTTAACAGAAAGTCATGTAGAATCTGTTAAAGTTGGAGCACACCTTTTTTGTATGCATAAAGCCAAAGGAAACAGCCTACAACTCCTCTTCCCAGAATCATCTACCATGAATACCAGCATTACATACTGCAAAGAAAATTTGCAAGAACAGATCTTATTAACACTACTTCTGCATTTTTCACAGATTAAATTACATCTTTAGAAAATATTTTTTTCAGAATCTTGTGCTCATCTAGTACTCGAGAAGATGTTCAGAAAGGAGGGATGCTTCCATAAAAACCTGACTTGGGTATCTATGATCCCTTAAAGCACACGAGTGCCACCTCTTGGTTTTGCTTAGTTTCCAGTATGTTAAAGCAAAATGAGGAAGAAACTGGGGAGGAAAAAAAAAAATAGCACATTTCCTCTTTGGATTTAGTCTCAAACTGCCAGCTGCCTGAAGCTGTAGATCTGACAGCCCACCATGCCAAACATACATATTTCTACACCTTCTCCGGGATATGCTAAGATATGGTCGTTTTTATATTTCTAGTGCTAAAAAATAGATAAGCAAAGGAGACCACAAAACCCTGTTCTGTGACTCTACTTTAAACCTCTGCATGTGAATGTTGCACAAGGTAAAGGCACAGTCTTCTGGAAAAAAATCCAGCACGACCTGTCACAATCCTCCGTGCCCAGTCAGATTCTAACCAACCTGTTCTCCTCATCAAATGTGAGCTTCCTGATCATCAGCTTTCAATAAAATGAAAAAGCAAACACTACCAATTAAAATATATCAGGCTGTTTCAACATAAAACAATTTTCAATGAAAAATTCAAGGGAAGGCACATTTTTAAGGATCATTATGGAAATCATTATCACTTGCAAGAAGAAAAGATGCAGCACAAACCGTCTTTTCACTTTAATATATGCTTCAAACCTGGACATATCTCACCGTTTCTGCAGATATTTTCATACTAAAGGTTACAAAACCACATAAAAACAGATTTGAATAGTATGCCTCTACAAATTTGCATAGTATGCCTCTGTAAACGAAATTTAAAAACATATTTTCCAGAGGCATATAAAGTAGGTAAGAATACCAACACTGCATGTAGTTTATGCAAGAAAAAAAAAAAAAAAGGCCACCAGGCCGCATGCCATTTTAGTATTTGATGAAGAGATCTGAATTCTTCTTCCTGGTTGAGTCTCATAATCAACTTTTTGCTGTCGACCAAATAATTCAGGGAACTTGACCTGTTTATAAAACCTGTTCTGGAAAGTTGTGTGAAAGCAATTTAATAGTTAAGAGTTCTGAAATTAGCTTGTCATGAAATAAAAGAGGATCTAGGTGTGTAATTCACATATTATTCAGACATGAATTTTTATATTCCAGTATCTCTGCCTTGCAGCTAGCTGTTTGCCAGTAGATAAAAAAATATCTCAGAAGTGCATAGTTGCTATGCACCAGTGATTACTCCTCAGAGAGCTAAGAACATCTTGTACCTGTTTTAAAACTGCAGGTTTTTGCTCTTAGCTTTGTCTGAGATAGACTGGCTATAGAGCTTCTGGATCAACCTCCAGCTGCAGCGGTGGTTCATGATCAGCCCTCTGCAACTGGGGCCTCATGGAACTGTTTGGGCAGTTTCCTAATTACTTCGGAAAGCAGGGTCTGCTTCAAAAAAGAAGTATCCTAAAGCATCTGAAAGGAAAATCTAATTCTGTTAATCAGCTTCTTGGTATAGGTGTGAATGTAAATCACACCACAGCCTGCCTAAAGCAGATGCAAAGACAGAAAACAATGCTGCTTATGACTTGTGGATTCTTGAGATACTTACTCCTCCACTGGCACCATGGATCAGCACACTTTCCCCTGCTTTGGCATGTCCTCTGAATGACAAAGCAACTCATTAGACTAAGACAATCATAAAATATCAGGTTACATATAATGACATCTAATTCCTTCTTCCTCACTAGTTTCACACAGCAATTAACAAGTAAACAATATTAATCATACTATTCATAAATTTAAGCAATATGCAAGTTATGCCACACACAACCAGCAGCAAGCAACAGCCTGATGCTGAAACGCAATTCAGGATCTTCATGTGTTCCGGTTCTCAAGACGACCCGCAGCGGCCCCAGTGCCTCGCTCCACGGAACCAGGCGGGATGCGCAGCGGGGCCCCGGCAAGGGCAGCGCGCGGAGCGCCCGGCAGACGCTCGTGCAGAGCGCGGGCGGGCGGCAAACAGCACCGGCCTCGCTTCTCCTCCCACAAAAACACCAAGGGGTGCTGGAAAGAGCCGTGTCTCGGCACACGGTGCAAACTGAAGGAGCCTTTCCAAGAAATGCTTAACACGAGAACACAGTCGACAACCTCCGTGTTACAGCAAATTTAACCCAAGTCTTTAAATCACACCCACTGATCATCTCTCATTTTACGGAATAATGAAAGTATAGCTTCCTTATTTTAAATATTCAATAACAAAATACACAAGCTGGATTTGGCATCTTACTTTTGGAAAAGAGCACGGTAAGCAGTGAAATAGGGTATTCCAATGGCTGCACCTTGCTTGAAGTCCAGTTTATCCGACAAAGGAAAGACACTATTAACTGCAGCGACTGTATAATCTGCATATCCACCAGAGAGGGTGCCAATAGTAAAAACCCTGTCTCCTTTCTAGAAAGGAAAGAAAATTATTAATGATTAATAAATAATTTCCCTTATATTTTTGTTATTAAACAGTTCACAGAAGTTTTTTTTCCTGTAAGTTTTTCTGTTAAAAATCTCAAGTTAATTTTATAAATGCAACGCAAACCATATATTTTGATTTAAGCATCATAAATATATCCTCTTCCATACAGTGTGACATGCAAACCTACTGCCTCATTAATATTAGCAGTAAGGAAACCAAACACTAAAAAATTCCATCCACAAATTCCAAATGGAAACCTTCAAAACATTTTACAAGGATCAGAGAAACAGTCCTTACCTATTTTCATTATATATATATATATATATGTATATATATATACACACATATATATACACACACACATATATATATATATATATGTACAAAAGCACTTTTAACATGCCCCAAGGTAGAAAAATATTGCCACTGTTTTTATCAGAGAATGTTCAAAGCAGCGAATCAGTAGGTTATGTAGGAGCCAGGCCTCCCAGCGTACTTGGCACGTGTGTGCATATACGTGTGTCTAACATCTATGTCACTCCTCAGACATTAAGTAGGTTATTACCTACCACACAGAAACCTGTGTCACAGAACAACTATTTCTCAAGCATTCCGAGTACATAAATGAAATGGATTGGGTGACTCCTCTGCTCAGCAGTTTCCAGATGTTTGTCTATAGCAAACATTGCGCTCACCTTCTCTCTTTCAATCAAGCAAATCATCAAGATGTTCGTAAGAAACAAAACGAACATAATGGATATAGTAGATAAGGAAATAAGAAGAAACATGATCTGTCCAGGTAACAAATCGGTCATTTCTCAACAGTAACACAAATTCAAAACAAGGAAATTCCAGTATCTTTTCCCCAACAAAAATCTAACTACAATTTATAAGTTTGTCTGAGCTCCACAATCTAATGACTTGAAGGGAAAAATTGATCTAAAAACTGAGTAAACCTCACAGATGCCTTTTAGCAATTGGAGAACTTCCTTCTCTTATCCCAAGGGTTTTAGACTATTTGAACAGTCTTACCAACAAATATGAAACTCAGATTTTTTTAATATAAGTCAGTAAAATAAAAGCTATTCCCATTTTCCCACAATGACACTGAAGCGTTTTCAGCTCTGCATGAAATTACCTCAAAACAGGAAGCATCCAACTTTTCCTATTTCTGTGAAGCTTTATGAAATATTTCCGAAACACAGGTTTGAACACCAGATCTCACTGCTTTACAGTAACAGTCTGAAGTGCCCCCGCTGAGACCCTGTAACGCCTCGATCCTCGCAGAGCATGAAAAACCTCCCCACCGTCCACCCTGCACACTCGTGGAGGTGCAATTCCCCACGTTAAATGCTTATAGGCTACACACACAGCTACACGGCACACTGACCGAGCAAGGAAGATGCGTAAACAAATTCCAATTAAACTCCAAAGGGTAAATACCTTGAATGCAGTCACGTGTTCCCCAACACTTTCAATAACACCCGCCACATCCGAGCCAGGAGTATAGGGCAACGCTGGTTTTCTAGCGTAACTTCCAGAACGAATATACGTCTCTACGGGATTCACTCCACAGGCACGGACTTTAACCAGTACCTGAAAAAGAAGATTCCTGTTAAACAAAAAAACAAAACAAACAAACAAAAAAGGATTTAAAGCTTCAAATCCACAGCAGCGTATTAAGAATTTTTAGCTAAACTTGAATGGAGTTGGCAAAAGCTACCGTTGAACTGAGAACATTTTAAGAAAATTGTTTTTATAGACTATGTAACTCATACAGTAAAAAAAAAAAAAGGGAAAAAAAGCATCACACGTAATGCCTGAGGCAGCCTGAGCAGTGAATAGGTTGCTCTTTGTACAATTTAAGCTCTGTATAATTTACTCGGTTCCCTGCAGAGGTGGGATATCATTCAGTATCACCATTTCAGCCAAGTGAACTCGTACTTGATTTTCTTTTGGAACAGGAATGGATACATCTGTCTGGAGCTTCAGCACTTCAGGGCCACCAAATTCAAAAACTCTCACAGCTCTCATCATATTTCTCGCCGCTGCCATAGCGAATCAAATGATCTGAATATCTGCAGAGAGGAG